GAGCCAAGGTCACCTCAGAAACAAGGTTATAACCTTTGAGTTGAAGCCTGTAACGCTAAAACAAAAAACTAATTTAAAATTATTTTCCTGGAAATGCAAATGCAGACACCTGCTTTTGAAAGAATGTCTTCAGATAATTGAGGAAGTTGACTCATGGGCTTTACTTTTGCCACCTAGACTGCCACCCAGGAGTAGAAACCTGGTTAAGCTGCTGCTCTGGCTTGCAGAGTAGCCACTACCATGGCCTCTGGTATTTGGATTATTTGCTTTCCTCTCTCTTAATCTCTGTTGGGAAACCTTCCCCCACTATTTAAATATTAAATCCTCACCATACTGGAATGTCACAGGGGACTGCTGACAAACAGAGATGTAAGGGCTCAGTACTTCAGGGCAAACCAATTTTGAGTTCCAACTCAAAATGCTCCTTGTTAGTTTGTTTCATGCCTTTTGCTGGGAATTCAACATTTATTTGAGACCAAAGACCAAGTAAGTACTGACACACATCAAAATCCTTTAGGCACCACTTCAGCTATAGTTTCCCTTTTCTGGCAGAACTGTCAGAACAGATAGCAACAGTGGTCATAAGAAACCAAGTTTCTGCAATTTTGATGTTTAAATACAGTTTATCTTAACAGTCTCCAGACTGCAGTCAGCCCCTTTAAGCAAGATTTTTCCTCCAAAGATGTAGTAATGCCTAGCTAGAGGAGAAAGGTTATTTATTATTTATTATTCCATTCTTCAAAATATTTTCTGGGGAAAAAATCAATCTTTCCCCAAACCTTCTTTGTAAAATTTAAGCTGCTATTTGCTATGTGTAGTTCACCTTGGTCTTGGTCACCTTGACACAGGTTAATGGCAGGTTAATTAGAGCAGGTAGCTCTAATCCCTGAGAAACTGTCCATTGTTACGATGGGCACGTTTTCCTCTTCTCTTTGTCTTACAGGCTGGTTCCTTCCTAAGCAATGGCAGCACTTTTTAAAGACAATGATATGATGACCTTGGTATGATGTGGAGCAACAAAATTTTTAAAATAGTTTTGCCAAATGATCATTTAAGAGCTTCTTTTGGGAAGATACATTCCATTTATAGAATACCAGTCTCTAAATAGGGGGAGATATTCCTGTGGGTGCACTCTTATGGCACTGAGTCCACTCCTGAAATAAGGCTCTCCTAAGCTTCCATACGCTTTGTTTCAAAGACTAGCAGTAACTGTGTGGGGATGAGGCACAGCTCTGGTGGAAGCAGGGGAGTGCTTAACCCCCGAGACAAACCCTATAATTGTTACTGTGTAGGTATGAACAGAAAATGAGGCATCTAATACAGAGTTATAAATTGAGAGATTTTGTAAATTCTTTTTATTGCTTCTTGTAGCTAATTACAGCTTAAATTTGTTGACTGATTCTGCTTGTTTAAAAAAAAAAAAAAAAAAGGAGATGTGGATGTGGCACCTGGGTACTTGGTTTAGTAGCAAACACTGCAGTGTCAGGTTGAACTCAATGATCTTCCATCTGAAATGATTTTGTGATTTTATGATTCTATGAATGCTTATCTACTTGTTATCAAAACAGCAGAGGAAATGAAAATGAAGAAGTTAAAAACTCACCATTTCTTAGCAATTAACTAACTTCACAAATTTAAGTATCATGCTGGTTAACAAAAGGCCTTTAATCCAGAACTGTCATGACAATTCAGATGGGTTTTTAAAAATTGATTTTACAATAAAGAGCAGAATAAAATAGACTTAGTTATCCTAAAAATGCTTAGCAGTCAAATGACATTCATTATTTGAGTTTCTGCTTTCTTCTTAATTTTGTTGCTAATTTTGTAATGTCAAACAGTATACACACTGCAAATAAAGTACATAAAGCCACAAGATCCTGTAACAGATATTGTCAGTGTCTGCTGTACAATTGCAGCGGGTTGCCAGCTGGAGGTACTCTGGTACTGCTGTGAGGCTATTGCAGGGCTCACACAAGGGGCATTCTCATGCATTGCTGAATACTCTATAATAAAACAGAATATAATGAGATATTCATGTATATAAAAAGAAATGTGATTATGTATAACATTCAAGAAACATCATTTGATGGTATCATGTGATCTGTTTTCCATGCTATAAACAACTACATACCTTCATCTGGATTTACAGGTTGGTATTGCAGAGTGAAAGGTCCTTCACAGAAATCACTCAGTATTTTATTTGGGTGCTCTGATCAAGGAGAGCTGAAACAGGTTGTTCTCTTGGTGAAGTCAAAATTCAAAACCCCATTGTTTCTCCCAGCAGACTTGATGAAATCTCATTCATCTGTACTTTTTCTGTAGCTGGGTACTTGTATGACAGTTCATTCTTATCATCAAGAAGAATTCCAAACCAGTGGCTGAGATTTGAATGCATATCTATAGCTGGACACCTGTTTCAGTGTGTCAGTATATACTTGTAGTGAAAGAAGGGTCTTAAATGTCCAACAGCGAACTTACAGTTCCAGAGTCTGGACAGCCTGAGCAATATCTAGTGTTTGTATCTTATTCATGAAATAAAAATCTTGTAGAAGAATCAGTGGGAGAAAGCTTTGTTACAGACCAGTCAGCCAAGAAAGAATTCTGTCCACTGAAAACCAGGGAAATGCATTGGTGAGGAGAACAGCTTTGTTTCCTTTTTTAAAAATGTAGGACAGACAGATGAAGGATCAGAGAAAAAGCTTAGATCCAATAAAGTTAACTGTGACACTTAGATCCAATAAAGGTAACTGTGCAGAAAAAACCCAAAATTTACAAGTTGTTTAGCCATAAATTTATAAGACAGGAGGCAGAAGAAAGGAAGCTGAGGTTCCAAGTCACACATATTACTGAGATTCATGAGAAGAAAAGCACTTATGCACTGTGGTCTTTTCACAGTCCCACTTCAAAACCAGGCAATCATTTTGAATTTAGGAGCTGGGATGCTTCCTGGGGTGTTTTGGTCTCAAATTCAGAAAGTTGCAAAAGCCTTATGAATAGAGAATATTTTCTTTAACATTCTTGGTAACAGCTTATCCAGCAAAGTATAAGCAGTATGCAAAACAGATCATCTTGAGTGTGATCACACAGCATGTACAGGACCACCAGGGTATCAGGCCCAGCCACTGTGGGTTTAGAAAAGACAGGTCCTCTTTGACTGACGTGATCTCTGTCTGTGACCATGTGAACCACTTCGTGGATGCAGGAAAGGCTGTGCATATTCTTTATCTGGACTTCAGTAAAGTCTTTGGCAGTTTCCCGCAGCAGTCTCCTGGAAAACTGGCTGCTTATGGTGAATGGATGTAAAAAACTGTCTAGCTGGCTGAGCCCAGAAAGTGGTCATGCCTGGAGTTACATCCAGCTGGCACCCTGTGGGTGAAACCATAAATGGGTTTCCCAAGGGCTCAGTGCTGGGGCCAGTTCTTTATCACTGATCTGGATTAGGGGATGAATACATTCTCAGTCACTTTGCAGCTGACACCAAGTTGGGTTGGAGTGTTGATCTGCTGGTGGCTCTGCAGGGCAATCTGGAAAGGCTGGATCGATGATAAAAGTTCGTCAAGGTCAACTGTATGAGGTTTAACAAGGTGCAGTGACCCAGGTCCTGCACCTGGGTCACTGCAACCCCAGGCTGTGCTACAGGCTGGGGGCAGAGTGGCTGGGAAGTTACCAGATGGAAAAAGAATCTGGCTGTGCTGGTCAACAGCCAGTGTGTGCCCAGGTGGCCAAGAAGGCCGATGGCATCCTGGCCTGGATCAGCACTGGTGTGGCAGCAGGAGCAGGGCAGTGACCGTCCCCCTGTACTCAGCACTGCTGAGGCCACAGCTCCAATCCTGTGCTCAGCTCTGGGCCCCTCACTGCAAGAGAAACATCGAGGGGCTGGAGCGTGTCCAGGGAAGGGCAACGGAGCTGGGGAAGGGGCCAGTACCTGAATCTTGTGAAGAGTAGCTGAGGGAGCTGGGGGTGTTTAGCCTGGATAAAAGAAGGCTCAGGGGAGACCATACTGCTCTCTACAACTACCATGAAGAAGGGTGTAGCCAGGTGGGAGCTGGTCTCTTCTCCCACGTAACAAGTGACAAGAGGAAACAGCCTCCAATTGTGTCAGGGGAGGTTTAGACTGGATATTAGGATGATTTTTATCATGGAAAAGGTTGTCAGTCATTGAAACATGCTTCAGGGTGGTGTCCACATCCCTGGAGGTATTTAAAACACATGTAGATGAAGCACTTAAAGATGTGGGCTAGGGATGGACTTGATGATCTGAGAGAACTTTTTCAACCAAAACCATTGTATGATTCTATGTTTCTAAGTCTCTGGTCATATCTATAATTTTTCTTCAGTGTAAATTCAGAGCATAGGAGAAGACTGATGATACAGAATTATAAATACTAGCTCCTGCATCATACACTGAACTTTTGAAAAGTAAAATTTGTACTTCAGACACTCATATCCCTATTCATTTTATTGCATTCCAGGTATCATATTTTGTTTCCAGCTGACAAGATCTACAATACACAAAACAAAATACAAATACCTACTGAAGAAAGGTAATACCTATCACTTGTAGAAAATGGTATATCTTCAGGTCAAAGTAGGAATTCATCGCATTAGCAATTATTTTATGAACTACCATGCATAATTATCCCTTTTCGCTCTACATTGTTAAGAACTACAAATTATTTATGAGTTACATATACTTCAAATGGACTCTGCTAAATTACTGTTCCTTAAAAGTTCTTGGGACTTCCTGGACTTAGCAAATGTCTTCAAATACCAAAACTAAAATGAAGCCAGAGGATGAGGCAGTATGATATAATCTGTTAAAGCCTGTTTACAGTAATATAAAGTTCATGTTTGTTGGGGCTTTTTTTACATAAACAGAAAATAGGGCAAGCCAGCTGAACACACTGATTACAGTATTTTCAATTATATTTTTACACTAAAAGAAGCCATAAGGTTAGTTTGTAGAAATTAAAGCTGAACACATTTAAATTAAATACTTACTAAGTGTTGCTTATCTGCAAAACATGTGTAGCAAATGGGTTTCTGGTAATGGCTTTTTGAACATCTGAAAAAGCATGAAAGTGTATAATGAATTGTAAATAAACAAAATACTTCAATAATAAAAATAACACTCATAGTCAAATATTCAACTCAAAACTTTCTGAAGATTGTGAAAATGTAATTTAATAGCACTGGTTTTATTTCCCCTACCAACAGCTGCTGAAGTATAGGCCATACCTCTATTTTAAAAGTTTGCATCTAAATAGTATATGAACAAAAAATTTAGTACCAATAAAGACATCTAAAGCTAGAGAAAAGAATGCCATCTACTCTTCAGCAACAAATATTCCAAATGTAGATTGGTGATTGACTACTATTCATTAAAAAGACCTATAAAATTTTTACAGTTTTTTTAATCTGGTAACATGTGAAAACAAAGCCAAAAGAAAGGATACAAAAAGACAACAGCTAAGAAAAGCAATGTACTTGTATGATGTGTAAATACCTACAACACTTAGTTACTTACAAGTACTTACATGTAAGTCTACCTGTAAAATTTCCCAGCTTCCTATTACCAATTTTAATCCCCAAATAATTAGGCATGCTAATTAAATTTCTGAGAGACATACGTACGTGTATGTATTACACTAACTTTCACGGTTACTTCTTTTGCAATCTGTTAATTCCTATGATTCTTTCACTGTTTCTTCCATATTGCTATGTACTTTTCTTACAGTTTTTCTTTTCACATTTCAAAAATTTCAGTGTTCTTGCTCCCAGTTCTTTTGCTGAATTCACCTTTCCCTTCTTTGTAATTTCTCTCTGTTACTTAGGAATTTAGCTTTATACGCTCATAATTCTCTTTTCATATCTACTTTCTTAACCTGAGCACATCATACTGAAACAGTTTTCTGGTAAAAAATAGATTCTTAAATTTCCATTTGTCTGGAAGCAATAACCACAGGTTATGATACAATGAAATTCTGAGCCACTGTTTGACAGAGCAAGAATTGTAAGCTACAGCTGCACAGTTTCTAAACAATTGCAAAGATCTTTTATTCTGCTGTTGCAGTCTATAGGAAACTTTTTCCTCAAAGTCAGACTATCCACCATGTATTGTAGAAATTTACAGATTGTGTGCAGAAGTTTAATAAACCCTGATTTAGTTTGATTCCAGTCAATAAGGGAGTAAATTTGGGTAACCTGACCATAAATGGTGCAGTCCAGAAGGAATAGTAGTGGAATAGTAAAGTGAAATCAATGGACTTTAAGAAAGCATATTCTAATAAACTGAAATAATTGGCATGTAAAATTTTACATTAAAGAAATGCAAGGAAAATGTGAAGTTCAGGAGAGCTGTCAATTCCATGTAGAGGAGAAATGGAAAGCAGTTATTCCAATCATATAAAAAGCCAATCAGCCAAGCAGAAGAGACTAAGTCATAAGGTCCCCACTGATTTCAAGTACAGGACAGAGCACACAAAATACCAAAAGGATGCCAAACTGATGTGAATGTTTAATGGAAGACCTGTATGATCACATCAGTCAAAGCAAATCAAAGTAGCAAGAGACTCAAGAAGTAAGTTTGTTCTTCAAGTGTAATATCATAGGATGACTAATGAAAGTGTTAGCTAATTAATCACTGAGGAAAAATTATTATGAACAAGTACAGACTTTTTCCCCACTTTTTCAGCAAAATGGAAGCTGTGACTGAGTTCACATAAAGAGCACCAGTATAAAGCAGGTGAGAAATCAACCTGGCATAAAGGAAGAGCAAGTTAGAGAACACTTAGGTAAGTCTGACATTTTTAAAATGGATGAACAAGTAATATTCACTTATACATTTAGATTTATCTGCATCAATGTCAGAACTCCTTATTTATTATTTCTAGCCTTTCAGAATTCATGGAGAAGAGGAACATTCTAAAATATTAGAAGTAAGAAAATGAAAAGCCCATTCAATATAAAGGACTAAATTTGCAAAACTATATGACATAGAGGGCAATAATTTGCAAAAATAATTAAAAAAAATGAAGATGGATAAGCTTTGGAACAGATTTCCAAGAGAGGCTGATGCACCTGATGCACCTTGATGGAACAATTTTGACAAACATCACTTACAAACAACATCTACAGTTAGGATGAGCCAGTTTCTGAAGGTGTCCTCTCATCACATTTAGAGTTATTTTTTACCAAGGCAAAGTCATCATTATTTGAAATTAACTTAATTGACTCAAAAAAGGGTTTCCTGATTTTGATACACTCTTTGCTACATTTAGTAAATAATAATAATAATAATAACAGCAACAACATTAGAAAATATTTCTATTACAGGATACCTGTTTTTAATCCAAAAACTCGATGGTGACAAAATATAAAGTTATTTAATTAATTGATGTAGCATTATATTTATTATCCAACTTACTTTGTAGCTTTTGATTCAGACAATCCAGAGACTGGAAAATCTTCTGTTCTTCTACAGAAAGAGTACTCCTGCCTGGACACAGAGCCCTTCTAAGCAGTGAGAGCTGCCTGTCTGACTTCACACGGTCCATGGCTGCCAGGATTTCACCCTCTGCAATTGGTGTACTTGCCAGTTTTTCTGCCACTAGGAACTGAGCAGTGCTTTCTGAAACTGAAGAGATTACAGGGGGAACTTCAAATGAGAAGGGCTCGTTTGAATAAACATTTAAATAAACTGCTCTTTTTCATAACCATAGGTCTCTGAAACACACAAAATTGACTTTAAAAGAAGAAAAAGGTGGGAAAATCAAGAAACATGATATGTTAGAAAATGAAATAATTAAGGACACTAATGCATCTTACAAATGGCACCAGAGTAGGTACTATTGAGTTTGGAAATATGTAATGATAGCGAACAATACCTGTCCACATCATACAGTTATATGTGACACATACAGTTAAAAAAACCCCAGGAATTGAATGAAAATGGAATATATGTTGTAATGCATTTATAAAACCATTAATATCATGCTATATGAAGCTATATCTTATATTTACAGGAAAAAATTGCTGTATAGAATTACCCTTTCTTACTTGGAATCACTGATGCCAAAAGATACAAGCCATGTTACACAGTGGGTATATTCCGTCATTCTACTTTATGTATAAAGAACTGAAGTGAGTTGTGTTACTATACCTTCCTCAGTTTTAGAGATGTTTTTCATCTTTTGTACTGGATCAAATGCAGAATGAATGGGACTCAGCTGGACAGCACATAATGAATTCTATAAAAAATATTGTAAGAGTATTTTAAGTATAATTAAAAGTAACTATACTACCTTCTGAACATGTTTTAATATTTTGTATTACCAAATGTTTTCAAGCAAAAAAAATATTATGGTACACAAACACAGAGATGTATTCCAGTTGGTTTTATTCTTTTCATTAGCAGTGACAGCAAGCTGACTATGCACACTGATTCAAAATCACGCAACAATGAACAAATCTTTGATATTCCTGAAACTCTTTCCATTTGAAGATAAGTAACGTTTTTATTTTTTATAGCATTTTATATTAACCTGTGCATGAGGAGCAGGCTTCCATAGTTTAGAGATGACACTTTGTCTTCTGCATTCTGAAAAACGTCGGTGTTTATTTTCATAGTTGCCAAAAACCTGATTTTGTCTTGTAACAGGAACACCGCCTTAAATGACATGCAGACAAAAGTAAACCAAAAATGTGTAAACAACATGATAAATATAGTAGTAGCAGAACTAACAGTGGGGAATAAATATCTCTGTCCACATTTAGATATTTACATCTGATCTCCAGAAATTGTCTTGGATGTGGACATAAGCAGCTTAAGTGAAGCCCTATGTTGAGTCCCAGAAAAGAAAGATGGTCTGTACAGGGGTACAAGGTGCTACCAAGTAAAAAGGAGAATGAAAGGTGAGCTGCAATGTAAAAAAAATCAAATAAGTAATGTTTTAGAAAATAAACTGCATTTAGAGAATAATCTTAAAGTCTAACTGTCCAACACAATAAATCACTGTTGATAAATTCTTGTATCTATATGTTAATTGATTCAACTTTCATTAAGATTCCATAATAGTGTGCAGAAACATGTAGTAGTTCACAAAGTTTAATAACAAAGTTATTCACAAAATCACAGAATGGTAGAGGTGGGGAGGGACCTTCTGAGGCCATCTGGTCCAGTGCCCCCACTCTAGCAGCAGCACATAGAGCTCATTGCCCAGGACCATGCCTAGATGGCTTTTGAGTGACTCCAAGAATGGAGACTCAAGAAAGTCTCTGGGCAATTTATGCCAGTGCTCAGTCACTCTTGCAATAAAAAAAAGTTTCCTGATGTTCAGAGGGAACTTCCTGTGATACAGTTTGTATGCACTGCTCAGGTACTTTCAGTCCTTCCTTTCCTTCCTTTCCTTCCTTCCTTCCTTCCTTCCTTCCTTCCTTCCTTCCTTGCAGTTATTTACAGACATTAGTAAGACTCCCCAAGGCCTTCTCTTCTCCAGGCTAAATACTCCAAGCTCTCAGCCTTTCCTCATGGGAGAGGTGCTCCCATCCCTTTATCATCTTTGTGGCTCTTTGCTAGGCTCTCTCTAGCATGTCTGTGTCTCTCATACTGAGGAGCCCAGAACTGAACACAGTATTCCTCACAGGTGTTGTGAGATTTAAAAGTCATGGATTTAAACCTTATTTCTACAGCTTGGCATTTTGTAGTTGAACTTATTAATTCATACGTCTTTGTACTGTTTTTTAAAAGGCAGTATTGCTGTGTAGCATTTTCTCTCAGCCAGAGAGGTCTAATCTAGACACCGTACCTTAAATTTATCTCAGTTTTTCCTGGTGTAGAAATACGTTTTCAAAATTGAAGCCTCAAGTTTCAAAATTAAAATTATGTTCTTAATTAAACTTTCATGCCTACAAACTGGAGATGCAAATTAGTATTTTCATATGCAACTCAGGAATCTACATACCAAGGAGATACTATATTCTTATTTGTAAATACAGTTACTAGATTTGTAAATGGAGTTAGTTGATTTAAACTTGGGAATAAATTACCTATTTATTTACAAAATAAATATTTATATGTTCAGTTTAATTACCAGTTTATAATTTGACCAAGAGTTGCATTACTGATTCTAACACAATTTTATTTTTTTCTGGTTATTACAGTAACATTAAAGCAGAATTCTTATCACTCATAGAAAAAGAAAATAATTGATCCTAGAAACATATTTGAAACTAGTCATCTGGCTGCTGTCATCAATAGTAACATGGGACACATTAGCTTTGAAACATTGTCATTTAGTTATATGCGAATTATTGTAACACAATACATGGTGCTGAATAACATCTAAAAAGGAAGGGAAATGTGATCATGTTATATTAAATATGAGAGAAAATTAAAAAAAAAATAAAAAGAAAAAAGAAGAACCCCCTTGTTATATTAGTAATCACATAATGTTCTTCTGAAAAAATAGAATTCAAAGTTGCTCTATGTCTATGCATCAATACTTAATTAATTTGCAAAACTAGAGAGAACAAGGAGAACATTCCTTTGAGACATCTAAGACAAAATAATAATAATCAATAGCATCTTTAGGGTCTGAGCAATCTTCTGCTATTTAACTTTAAGCACGTTAATTAGCCCCATATTTGTCACAGGCTAAAGGTTAAACACATTTTAAAGCCTTTACTGACTGAACAAGAAAGGTGTTAAAAATTCTAACATCCAGCTAGAATAATATGCTGTAATATGTGCCAGGCAGAAGATATACAACTTGAAGCTTGGAAGCCAAACTAAATAAAGATTCTCATGGACAACAATTGCAGTCATCTGGTTCTCACTTTCTGCACATTTGGCAAAGCATTGCAACAGATCACTTTTTCTACAGTGTCTTCACAAACCCCATGGAACTCTGCAGATATTTTACTAGAGAGCAGTGCAGTATTTAGTCTCTAAGCAAGCAATTTAGGACAAGACTATGGCGTCTATGTGCATTTGCAGGCAATTGAACAAGTAACAGCAAGTCTGTAAGTTATCTAGAGTATTTAAAATAAAGCTGACTTTCAAAATACAAAATATAAGCACCTACTGAGAGAGGGCAACCCACATAAATTTTAAAAGGCAGTTACTCAGCCCTTCTCCAAAAGAGCTGGAGGTTTGTGATGCTGGGGATGTAGCATTTAAAGCTGCAGTGCACAACTTGGACCCAGGACATTTCCTGATTCATTGATCTGATGTGCAGATAAGGACATCAAGAGACAAAAATCTCTGCTGGAGGCAAGGCGTGGTAAAGCAAGTCTTCATTCATTTCCAATGTAAAATCAAATAGGTTAAGTCACACAGATCTTAAACTCATCTGTTTGACTTTGAACTGGAACAGACAAGCAGATAATATTTTCTGTTCCCACCCCTGCTTTAGGCCAAGAATATTCACCTGCTTGCATCTGCTCTTACACAACAGAGCTGTTCTGAATCACTCCATTAAAACTGTAAAAACTGTTAAAACTGTAGATAAACAGTATTACTGTAGATAAAACTAAAAATGTGGGGGGCTTAAAGTTAAGGGTATTCATCATTTTTTTAGAAAGTATCTTTGAGTTCCATGGCAAATCCTTGGGGTGATCTCAGCATGCGAAGCAGTTTGGAGTAATGCTTGTACCTGAAGCAGGGAGTACAGCTCTCAGGAGCTCCAGCTGCAGCTCTCAGTAGGAAGCAAACCAGCATACTACATAGAAATTACAAGCACAAGGACGTCATCAATGCCCAAGGCACAGAATATGTGCCTAGGCTGCACAGGACAAACAAGGCAAATCAAAAAGCATGAAATGTCAATTGAAATGTAAACCCCAGGAGATTGAAGTTTATTCTCCCAAAAATCTCTTATCCATCTTTCCTGTATCTTATCAACCAATTTGTGCCTCATATTGTTGCCAAGGTTAATTTTTAATAAAATGCAGGCTTGTTCCTGAAATTTCTTAAAATTCTTTATAAATCAGATATACCTTGCAGCAGAGCAATGTTTGGCTGGCAGAAGATCTTTAATTTTAACTAATCTTTAATTTTTGCTCAGCTTTTAATAGTATTATTGGGACTAAGTCCCAGTAATTGTAGGCATTTATAGTGTCAGCATTTTAAAAACACAGCAGAACTAAACTTCTTTCACTCTCATATGGCAGTGACTGTTGGACAACAAAGCTATCACTCTTAGTTACCTTGTAAAACTCACTTGTATAAACTTAGTCACTTCCTCCTATATCATTATTCAGACCACCTGTCACATCTGCTCATTAGTCATGAATATAATCTCAGGGAAAATACTTCCTTTTCATTTAATATTGCAGAGAGCTATTAAAAATGAGGACTGACGTTTGAGAGGCCTCTGGGCACCACTAGAATAGAAATGAGAATGACAAACGGTGAAAGCTTGTTAAAACTGGCTGTGTTGTGTGAATGGATGAAAAGGTTGGATGTTTTAACTGAAAACAAATCTGTGATGTATTTGAAGAAGACTTTTGTCTGAACATTCCCCCACCCCAGACCCAGAAACATGACTCTTACCAGTAGCAGAGTCTTTTGGAGCTTGGGTAGAATGTGCTCCATGCCAGAAGGTGCTTGTTTTTCCAGCTGCTGGGATATGATGGAGATGTAATCTATTTTCTGTGTTAACAGGTCTTCTCTCAGAGCAAGTTACTGAATGATTTTGACAGGCGCTTGCCTTAACATTATTTACAGAACAAGTATTTTTTGCCCAAAGTTTGTATTTGGCTGTGCAGCAGTCAGGTGTAGAGACGGCAGTGGCCAAGCCAGCACAGCCAGTAATAGTCTCACTGTCTCCTGCACTGCTCCTATTTAAAACCTGACTGGCTGGCACAACATGCCTGTCATTGAAATCACTGCTGCTAGCACCAGTAGCTTGCAGACTGGCAGGCAGCACTGACTGACACCCAGGGCTGGCTGTGTTCTCAACACTTCTGTTTCCTGGCAGAGGTGTGGAAGGTGGGTGAGGTGAGAGGTATTTCCCTGGAGCTTTTTGAGTTTTGTTGGCTTCAGTGCCTGATTGCAGTTGGATCATAGTGCCTCTTCTCTTCTTGGGCATAAAACATGACTGGACTCTTAGAGATGTTGCTCTTCTGGATATTTTTGCCTTACTTTTCAGTTGATCACCTTCTTTAATTTTAGCATTATTGCTACATACTGGGAGTTTACTTGTTTCATCTCTTGATACCATCCAAGATTTCTTAGCAGAAAAGGATCCTGTAGATGTAAATATATTCTGAGATGGGTATTTTTTATTTGATTTTTCAGTATTACTGTTTGGTTTTGACATATAAGAATTTTCCTGAGGATTTTTTATGAACATGAGGTTTGAAGCAACAATACTTAAATTATTCTTAGGAAGGTTATTTGCAGTTTGAACACATTGCAGTTTTGAAGAACATATTTCTCTGATGCTTTTTTCACAGCATTTTTCATTATTTTCTATTATTATCTGGTCAATTTCATCACACCATTTTAGCTTCCTATTGCATTTTTCATTTTGTGCACTTTTATTTTTTATTTTTGCCAGTTCTAAACTGTCTCTGATAGATGACATGAGTTGAGTTCCAAAACTGATTGCATGGTCTGTAACCACAGCTTTGAAATTACTGGGTTCATATTCAGAACCCTTCTTTAAGATACTTCTGAATAACTTCACTCTTTTTCTATCAAGAATATTATTTTTCAGGATTTTGTCCTGTGCAGAAGTGTCAGAATTGAACTCTGTATCAGATAACAATGACATATTTTCAATTATATTTTCCTTTCTTTCTTTATTATTCTGTTGCTTAACTTCTGACAGAACTGAGGCATTTGGTATGTCCTGAAATAAAGATGTTTCTGAAATAATATCATTCATACATTTAATATTTTCTTCTTTTGTTTCAATAATTTTTCCTAAGTTTTTTTTTAAAAAGCCTGTACTGATATTTTTGTCCTTTGGTAATACATCAGCTGTGCTAGGAATGTCAGTGGAATATCCCTGATTAGGAAATAAGATTACAGATGTTGCAATAGGTTGACTGGATGCTTGCATAGATTTAGTTCTCTCCTGTGGGGTCATTTTAAAACTCTGATCTTGCATCAGATCCTGAATTCTTTCTCCTGGATTAGAATCAGGGCTGTCCCAGGCTCTGCTAGGATTGAAAACAGGATGACCAGTGGCAAATGTCCTAGCTGTTCCAGAAGATGGCTTGCTTCTCTCTGTTATGTTTTGCAGAAAACTAAATGCATTACTTAGAGAGCTCTTTTGCTTACCAGAGGCAGAGAATTCTGCAGGTTGTTTTCCAGATCTGTGAGAAGCAGATGATTCCTCTTCTAAAGTGTTTACATGTTCAGCAGGAGTTAGAACATTATGTTTAGCTAAAAGATCATGAATAGGTATGTTGTGGTAGTGTAGCAAATCTATATTTCTCAGACAATTATTTAGATGTGCATTTTTAGAAGTACTTTGATCTGTGTGAAGTAAACCATTATTCCTAGTCTGGCATTTTTCTGGATCATACAGGGCACAGTCACACTGTGTGGTAAAAGATGATTCACTCTGTGTTGTGCAATTTCCATTTTGTTCTCCAGCCTCAAGACTGTCAAGGCTCATCATGCTTTCTGAATCATCTGTTTCTTTGACTTCTTGATGAAAATTCTGAAATACAGGCATAAAACCAAACTCTCAGATTTATCAGAAATGTCATTTTGCTGATAATTTTTCATTAATGAGAGATTAGACCAAATAAATATTGAGCCTAGTGTTTTTGTGACTTGGGGTCATATCTCCATGAGTGTTTCCATCAAGTCAAAATTTACCTGTGCTAAATTGCAAAAGAAAATTATATAATTTGGGGAGAAATCCAGAGAAGAGAGCAGCATAGTTCAAGAAATTTAATCTTAAATTATATATAAATCTGCAATATTTGAAAAGGAACTAAATTTATCTGAACAACAGCACTGTTTCTGAATTTCTCTGTGAGACTGGGTGGTTTTCATCCTCTGCAAGGGTACTTGAGTTATAAATTGAAAGAAAATCCATGAAAATGAAGGTTTGATACGGGATCTACCCCAAACTGCAACTTTTCTGTATTACTAGACTGAGTATATTTCTTTTCATACAAAGTGCCACAAGTGATGAGGAGTTAAGCCTTGTCATGGCAAACACAGAAAAATCTCTTGGTTATCATAACCACAGTGATTAACAACTCACCCCAGTGAAACTCCTTCTTCAAGTCTTTCAGAAAGAAAGTATCTCCTATTCTATGAGGACAGATCAAGTCCCAGGGCATAAGGAACTCTCATCCACTTCCCCAACATTTTCATTAAATTTTAATGGAGTCACGAATAACAGCAACTGGCACCATCTGAAACACCAGTGGGACAGCTGTGTGCGTGAACTGTACAAATGTTGTCTTTACTATTACTCCTCTGTCCAAGCACTGAGATGCTGACATGGATGAAAACACATGCTTTGTTAAGTACAAGACTTCAAAATACACATGAACATAAAGGAAAACAAGCACGTCAACAATTTTCAGTCTCATACACTCTTGCCTGGAAGTTCACTTTCACACAGCTCAGCAGCAAAGTAATTTTAAACCTTATGTTGGACAAAACTGGTGTGAAAAATTAAGAGAAGTTGAATTAGATAAGCACTCTTATGCAATAAATGGAAAATGTTTCAAGTAGCAAAATCTGTTAACCTAGGGTGAGTGACTATATATCCCCTAGCAATGACATTGAATTCACATTTTGAAAACTTACCAAACAAACACAGAATTCTTTAGCGAATAATAACACACTTTTGTAGCAAACATTTTTTTATTCCAATAAAATTGTCATATCTAAATATTGTGTATTTTATAACTGTACAAATAAATTAAACTGCAGAAGAAAAACCTTAGTAAGTCTCGAAAGACTTTTTATTATTGAATTAAATCTTATCTTGCACTAAAGGTTTAGAGGTTGGTGCAGTCTTCCGTTATAGTTACGATCTGAGATAAAGATACTAAATAGAAGATCAAAGAAGGAAGTGTAGGGAAAGATCCCTTTAGGGAACATTTTCAAACAAAACCTAAACAAACTGGTGCCCTTCTAATAAAAAAGAAAAAGTGCCACTTTGTTAGTTATTTATTAACCTTTATTTTTGCCTTAATTATATTGTTAACCTCTGTTTGAACTTCCCCAAACAAGGAAAAAACATATACTCAGAGTTTTTTGTATCAGGTCAAATTTAAGAACTAATTTTGAAATTTTCAGAAGGGTATAAAAAAACAGTGAAAAGAAATTACAGCTGTCAGGCTTACTTCTTGTCTAATTTGGAAACTGCACCTGTATAGCAAAACACGTGCTTCTCAAATGACAGAGAGAAGAAAAATTTTGCAAAGATAGATTTTAAAAAAACCTTCTCTTGATAGGAGGTTAGCTTAAGCAGGTAAATCTGGAGGGCGCAACAACATTTCCAACTTTCAAAAATTAAAAAATAATAAAAAATCTATGTAACTGTGTTCCAGAGGTTGAAAATAGACTTGTTCCTACATTATATAAATAAGTATGCTCCTCATAAAGCATAACATCCAGAGGTAACATCCAGAAGTGTTAGGAACTAAAGAACAAAGAAGAAGCTCTCATTTAAACACACACTAGCTCTTACTTAGTTCATGCAAATTTAGTTCATTTACATTTATTTTGTTGCATCATACAATTTCATCCTTTCACAGATTAAAGATGCTTAACATTCTTATTAAAATATTTACATATTTCCCATTTTAAAGTCCTATGTAATGCAAATCAATGTCCCATTTCCTTGTAAAAATGTGTAATTAGAAGTACTTCTGCTGAAATAAAAAAGCATTCAACAATCATCATTTTTTAGTGACCAATAAGTGCAGGAAATAAACCTAGAAATCCCAATGACTTAATTTTATTTAATCTGTGAGAATATGAGTGGATGATAAGAAAACAAAATGTCCATAGAGTACTATATTGTTATTTACTGGATTTACATTTTTCCTGTTATATAAGTACAATTTATTGTATTGCCTATAGCCTGCATTATCTTATGTCATAATGCATGAAATCTAACACCCACACATACCCACATTCCTGGGAAAGGAATACTTCCGAGGAGTTAAAGAGGTCACTTGTATGTCTTAGGACTTAGAACAGCTGTGTCAAGCAATTTCATTTCAGTAAAGCACTAAAACAAAGGGAAAACATGAGCCTAAGAGATCTTTCATAAGGCCAGTGAAAGAAGAACATAGCAACAAGTAAGATTTTAAGTGAACCTGACAAGTGAATTTTCTGCCAAAAGGACTTTGTCAGAATGCTATTACACCAAAGAGCTGCTACATGCATATTTGACATTTTCTGCAAAAAGTGCTGACTGTTCATAATTCCAAGACATGAATAGGAACACTTTTCTGAAGAAAAAATCCTGAAAAAATGCTACCTATTCTAAAAACCAAGGCCCCTCACACCTCTCACACTACTTACTATTTTTGATAATTTCAACTGGTTTTTTTACAGAAATTCTTTGCTTTCAAATGTGTATATTTATCATGTCACACTTGACATTGGCTGTGAAGTAAAAGACACCACTGAACTTGCTTAGATGCCAAACTAACTTTCAAAGCCAGTGAGGTACCTAAACAATTCATTTCAAATTTACCAACTATGGAATTGGGAAAGTCCATTCAAAATTAATAATCCAATTTCTATATGAGTTTGAAAAACATCACATACATAGCACTACACGATACTTATTTCTCAGAAGATCTGGGTAGACTCAAGAGAGCAAGTGACACTGTGAGAGGATTTTGGTGCTTACCTTACACAAGAGTTCCATTCTATTGTGCCAAACCCACCAAAGAAGCTCTGAAGGCGTAGGATGACCAGAGAAAAGCTTACTATCAACACCGCTGTCTTTCCCAGTCTGATGCCTATGTGCCTGATCTCCTCCCAGGCTAAGAATACAGAAAGTACCTATCTATGAATCGATGCGTTTTTGAAAGGACCTATTTAAAATATCATCACAGGATGCTGGAAATGCAGGTTCAAACTTCTCAGTATAAAAAGAACTTGTTTCTAATTTCATAGGCATGGAGGCAATATCAGTAAGCCATACTTCCAGAAGATTTTAAAAGGGATCTGAACACTGAATATCAATGTTTCGTTCTGATTTTCAGTCTTAATAAGCCCTGATGTAAATGTACATAATGTGTAGGGAACAGATTTTCAGCTGAACTTGTCTTTCTGTTGCTTTAGCATCTCCGTATTCAGAGTGCTGTTTCTAAGGTACCCTGTCACAGGTGTCCAACTCTCACACACTAATCTGGTCATTCAGTTCCAGGAGTGCAATTTAAAAAAGTGGAGTGGAGGAGTGCAGGTAAAAATACTATTAAAATTGTTAAATTATTAAATGGTGAGGCAGTGTGCACCATAACGCATTATTCCCTTTTTTTGTTTCTAACCCAGTAAAAATTCAGTTTGAGCAGGCATCGTCTACCCAACAAATCTGTCATAAAACAATAGCATGGGATTGCATAATTAAAAAGCCAGATAAGGCAGATAGTCATATAAAAATACTGACCATGGATATGAACCATGAATTCTAGAAGTTCTTTTATGTTTAACTAATAATAATTTCAATGACTACAGTTAAAAGATTTGAATGATCTGGAGCCACAAGATCAATAAAAAAGAATAGATTAATAGTATTAGACCAGTACACAGTTCCTGATTGAATCAGTGTGTGAATATAATTTTTAAAATAATCTCTTGTTCAGCTGAGGAACGCTACCAGAGCTCTTTATTTTCTAAAAAAATAGTATACATTCTTTTAGTCAATGAAAAAGGATTGCTTTTTCTTTTAGCAGTATACTTTGTAAAGATGGAAGAGTTTTTAACATGGTCTCACTGTTGTGCACTGCACAGCAGCAGCCAGGGCAGAAGGTGGATTTATGTAAAGAAATCCTGAAGGTCAGATACAGAAATACTTTTAGAATCATGGAACATCCCAAAGTTGAAAGGGACCCACAAGGATCAGTGAGTACAAAGCTGACTCCATACAGGGCAACCTGAGGCTAAACAATACATCTAAGAGCATTTTCTAATATGTATATTTATATCTTTCTAGAAATAAATTTACCTAATAAGGCAGTTTCATGTAATTTCCAACATTCTCTGCATGCTTCATTAAAATAATCATTTATCTTGAAAAAAAATTCTGTGACTTACATGTTACCTCTTTTACAAATTCAACTTTTTTCAATCAGATATGTTTCAAGACATACATTCTTCCTAAGAACTTTACAGATTTGATTTTTAAGAACTTGTACAAGCTTTCAGCATTTACCTTCCCCTAAACAGCCTACTGTTTAGGTTTCTAAAGGTTAATTGTTTTAAACCTTGCCATTTGTTTGAAATAGTGAAATTCCTTGTTTATTACAAGAACTTCTAGTCTTCTGAAAGAGGTCCCAGTTACTCTCTGCTTATCCCTGTCTTCTGAATTTTCGGTATTTGGTTTGATGCTTTATTTTGTACTTTATTTATGGTGAACCATACTTCCTTATGGAGATATGCAAGTATTGGGCATAAACTGCCCAGCAAAGCTCGAGCTACTAAATACCACAGAAGTGCTGCTGCAGGTTTATAATAATTAATATTGGAAATAATGAAATAATTGATTGGGCTCCTGGTTAGCCAGGCCACCATTAGAATACTAAGATATAAACAGAATACTAGGATGCAAAAAAAAAATAGCTGAATTCTGTGCTGCTTTAAAATTCATACAAGTCTTGTCTTTTTAAAAAACCTAAAACATAGCTATGGCATCTTCAAAGAGGGAAACTTACATTGGAGATTGATACTTTAATCTTCATGAGAAATCAACAGATTTTCCAACAACCCCTTGAGACACCAGTATAAACTACCACTGATAATACCACGTTAGTATAATGCAGCATCCTGGTAGACCCATATGCACAAACTTTGTATCTTCCAGTCCCTTCCTGCAAGCAAACATCTTACTGTAACTGCAGTACACTAAAGATTTAATACTGCTATTTTTTACTCTGTTCCTTTCTTTCAGCTACATTTATGAACATCTTACTCTGTTGCAGTAAAACAAATCTCTCCAAAACCAGACATGAAGTATGGTAAAAATACTTTAGTGCATAGCTATACATATATATATATATACAAACACACATGTATATTAATGTAAACCCAAAAATGGAGTCATGCTAATATGTGTGGCAATTATTATGAAAAAAACTATATGCTTGTAAAAAAGGAACAGGTATATATTAAGGGACAGTATCAATTTCCTTGTTCCTGTGGTTTGTGAGCTATGCTGTATGTATAACAGTCAGAACTTATCCATAAGCAAAACCTTATCCATGTATAAGTCTAACTCTGAAACAAGCTCTTTTGTACTGAAAATTTGTTTCAGCTTCAATCCTACATTATTACCCATTCAAGAAGGGCTTTGAACTGAGGAAAGACACTGTTGAATGAACTCCAGACGGTCAGGTATGAAGACTGTCATGTGATTTTATACAGCACAAGCTTAGAATAAGTTATTTTATGAAAAACCATCCCCAAAACCTCAAAACCTACTCTTGAGGAATACACAATCAAAACATGTTGGAGTATTTGGGTAAAATAATTTAGTCTGGAGATAGATTTCAATTTGTCTTTATAGCACATGTGAATTTTGGATTACTGAAATAATGTGGAAGATAGCTGTTAGTCACAATATTGGTTGAAAGCCAATGAAAACTGAACACCTCTCCTCTTGCCAAGAGGATAAAAAGTAAGGAAATCACTCAGGCCTGTCATATAATTTAAACGATCAACATAAAAATGTTAACACTCACATTTACAAGTAAAAAAATGGCCAACATTTCTAGATTTAAGGTGACTGTAGAAACCTATTTCAAGTTGTTGAATGGTCTCTACAAAATCAAGTTCGACTTCTGCTTCAATGCCATTTATCCTAAGTCTCCTTGTCCAAGTCTGTTTTCCCACTAACTGGCCTTGAGCACTCTAAAAGTTTTTGATGCTTGGAAGAGACTATACATAGCACTCCTTTTTTCCATGCTGGTCTTGCCTATGGCTCTGAAGAATTAGACTGGCAACACCCCTTGCAGAAGGAACTTTTGGTTAACTCATTCCAGTCATACTACAGTGTTTCCATCAGTTACCTGAAACAACTCAATTTCACGGACACTGTGAACCTCAAAAGCACAGTAACACCAACAGCTAACAGCCTTACAAGTGAACTCCTGCAATGCAGGTGATGTCCAGACCATTCAGTGGAACATCACTTAGAAAATATTCTTCATTGTTTCTCAGACACTTATGTGACTTTACATGCAACATGTATAAACACACACAATACAGTAAGGTACAAATTTTTCCTGTATTAGACACAATATAATTTGGGTTGCAAATTCTGAGAAATTATACTGGTGTTCCATTCCTATTGCAATAAATATTGAATAGTTTCTTCCAAGGGGAATGATATCCTTAGAAAGAGTGGTAACTGAGTATTCAATGGCTGCACAATATTCTCAGAAAAAAAACAGCAAGCCAAGGTAAAAATCCTGCTTCAAATCAGTCTAAAAGGAATTTAAATTTGGATTTGACAGATACCACTTGAGTAACCTAATTATGGTCATATAAAGGAGGAAAGAGGAAAATACAGTCTCCATGTGATAATCTACACCTATTTTGTCTTGAATTAGCTCTTACTTCCAAGTATTTTGTTTAAAAAATGAAACTATAGACATAAAATATAATGCTACCAGTTTAATTAAGGCATAATGTATTTTTCTGGTAGAGCCTAGAAATATTGTGCTGTCCAAATTAATGTTGCGTGGCCATGAAATTGAAGAGGTGACAAAAAGAAAAAGAGAAAAAAAAACCAAACCACCTGAACAGTACTCTTCCTTGTCACATTTGAGGCATTTAGTGGGAATTTGCTAAATTATTCAGTCCAAGGCAGGTACCAGAAATGGAAAATTTCAACATAATGAGTTAACAGTTCGAAGAAAATGTTAAGCACCTTGGGACTAATGCAGCTTTAGCTAAAGACCATGCTACTAGTTCCACCTTAAAGATATTATTTATGCATGCAATAAAACCGGAAAGGATAGAGACACAAAACCTTTATTCGTGAATGAAATTAGCAATATTAAATTCTTCAAAATGGACCATACTCATGAACATGAAATAGTAACTTGGTGTAGTGGCTTGGATGCAACTATTGCACAAAATAAAATCTACTGCTCTCAATACTTAACACAAAATAATTTTGGAAAATGGTAGAAGCCACTAAAACCCTTGGCTTACCAATGAATCTGTACAAATATTTAGAGAAGTAAAGCAGGAAACACAACAAATCTAGTGGTAAAGGTTCACATAGAACTTTATTGCCCTGTAGGAAAGTAAAGAATTTTAGGAATCTTTATAATCCTGTTGGGCCTGTAAAAACAGAAACAAAAAGAGGTCAAAGGATCTCAATGGATGGCAAGGTTGCGAAGCATATGCACAGTGAAATACTTTCATTCCAGAAATTACTTTGGACAACAGGTAGCATCAAGACCACTGAAGTCTATTGATTTCAGTAAGAGTATTCTAAATCATTATAAATTATAAATTTTATTAGTAAGAGTATTATAAATACTATTTCACAATACAGGATGTCACAATGCACATGCACACCAGCCATCAGCACAATCCAAGTATTAAACTTCCAAAACTCAGGCCTTAGAACAAGGTCAATAGCTTTCTTGACTATTTTTGAAATCAGAGTCCAAAGCATGCAATTTCAAGAAAGCAAGTCCAAATGTCTGAAGTATATTTACATTTTGAAACTATTCATCAGAGGAAAGAAGCTGAGCAACCCCTAGTGGGGTTGCAGAAAAATACCTTCTGGAAAAAAAGCAAAATTTTTATGGGTGTTTTCAAAAATACATTAATTTGTAAACACAAATTCCTACATTATATGCAGTGTCCCAAATTGACGATAACATTTAGAAAAAACTAAAAGCAAAAAATTATGCATGACTCATAGCTGTTTTTCCATAGAATTCAATTAGGAAGTGATAATTCTGTTTGATAAAACACTCCAATATAAAAGTCTTAAAATACATTTAGAATAATCTTTTTATATATTTTTCTCAAAGAGAATGTGTTTTGTTTTCTAATTCTAAGATGTTCTAATGCAGCAACTGTAAAACTCAGCATCATCATTTAGGGAGGGACTTGCAAACTCTCTACCAGTGAAATGCAAATGTGATATTTTTAAAAAAAAAACTTAGACTTTTTTGTGTTTTTGTAAAGTGGTTATATAGAATTCAGTTTTATCAGCTCTCTTCTATAATTTTTTTCACTTTTCTTCCTTCTTTTATGCTTAGAAATAAGAAAGAACACTGCCAATACCAACTGTACTTTCTCTGCATTCAACTTTTTTGAACCTCACTCCAGCTGAGTGAGATTTTCTGTGTTAGCCATCAGCTGCTCAATATTTTAATGCATAACTATCAGAACAAAGAAGATACAAAGGCAAAGATGAAGGCTCCTAGAGACATCAATATCAAACCCTATCTGAACTCTCTAAAGTCTTTCACTAGTACACTTGCATTAAAAGGAAAAGCCCTTGCCCTATGGCCACCAATGATTCCATGCCTCCAGCCATGACCAAAATAGAGGGATGGGTTCATGGAGTCCAGGTCATTTCAGATACCATGACTGGACACCAGTAGATATTCTAGAAATAAAAGAATGAGCCCCAAAGTATGGCCTCCTTTTTTACAGAAAATGTAATGTTGAAGACAGTATTTCCAAAATCAAAGACAACACTGAGGCATAAAATCACACTTAAAGGTGCACAACGAAAAATCACCTTAAAGCTCAGTTCTTGATTTTTACTGTTTCTAAGGTGACTTTTTAAACTTATTTTCAGTCTAAAAATTAGTTTAGGCAGAAAAACCTCATTACTGGAACACCTGCAGCTATTCCAAAGATGATAAAAAAGGATCTCAAGAGACTTAAAGTATCTCTAACACATCACCACACACTGGGAAAAAAAAAACAACCAAACAAAAAAAATCCCTCAACATTTCACATGCCATCATGTGAAATGCTATTGCATGTTGTGCTGTCACAATCAGCACAGCAGAAACTTGGGTGTGCACTGAAAGTCATCAATTTAAGTTTAGAGACAAATCACAAGATCACAAGACTCCGGTGATTGTCTAATGGCTACCAATGCCAGATACAAGAAGCCTGACATACAAATCTTACCAGGAAAAAAAGGACAACATAACAGGTATCTTGGATGAATTTGTGAAAACATTCTTATAAGTATTTTTAAAGATCTCTGACTTCTTACTGGAAAATATGCATAATTTTACTAAAAATAATCCATGGATAAGGCATAGCACAGTGTGCCCTCCCATGCTGTCTAATTGATAAAGACAGCTGAACAGAACTTTCATTTTTATCACATTTAAGAAAATTTCTGTCACACTTAAAAGCATCTTGCAATGAATAACATTAAAATGAAAACATCTTACCTCCAAGTTGTTGAGATGCTGTTTTTCAAGGAGCTGTTGCATTTCTTTCAGATTTTTCTGGAAGAGAAGTTGGTGACTATCCATGTCTGTTCTACTGCTCTCCTGTATTGTTTCATCACAGCCAAACATTGCTGAATTATTCTTCTGAGGGAAAGAATCACTTCTACATGCTGATGAGGATGAAGGGTCATCTGTGGTTCTTGATACAAACAAGCAAATTATTATCTTATCTTATTTCTATGCATCAACTGTACATTTTTAAATATGTTTCTTACCAAAAGTATACAACATCAATAAATTATGAAAAGCCTGACAAATGCTGTTAGTACTATCTGAAAGTGTCCGACACTTTCCATTTTAAAAGTTCTCTTCTGTTTATTTATAAATAATATTATAAATTTTCTGATTGGGTTATTGGGTGACTACCTCTGACTGCATTAATATGGAGTGTCAGTCAACAGTTTGGTAATTTACAGAAATGGAACATGAAGGGTTTTTATTTTTAACAAAAGAAAAAAACAAACAAGAAAATAGGCTTTACTTTTCCATAAAGTTGGCTTATGCAGAGTGCAGCTATATTGGTGTTGTAAGGTATTCCCTTCAAAGAACAAGAAAGCTTTCTAGTATCCAGAGAGCCTAAATTTACCAATGATATGAAATGTCAGTATTGTGTTATGTTAAAGAATTGGTATTTCCTGGCTGACAAAAAAAAAAATCTTTATAGTAGCTAGTGTAGTTGGGGCCTGTGACCAGCTCTTATCTGAAGATACGCTTCACATATGTACAGAAATTCAATAATATCTTTCCTTCATTTCTACCATTTCTTCAGCTTAAAGTTTTTCTTAAAAAAAAAGCCTTCTCTTCCTGCACCTAAAATTATCCCTTTTCTTTTTAGTGAATCTGTTTCAAGTAGGTAAATAATCTAATAAGACCTTTTTTATTTTGTATTTATCACAACACTTATAATTTTAGGGCAATAGAAAATGGAAACTTTCAAACCCTTAAGATTATTGATATTTTTCAGGAGATTTTATACAAGAGTACAAAAAACATTGGCTTAATTGCAGTGACCTAAGAGAGCGTAAAATGGAATTCATTATTTCTGATGAGATGGCTGACAGCAAAAAGGGAGAACAAATTCACATATTTATTTATTGAACATAGAAAACTGCATGCTGGTTTCTTTCAAAAGGCAGATATCCTCCCTATCCCAAAACTTTTTTGTTATTGCAGACCAAACTGACTGACACCTGGCCTCTAAAAATGTGGTTTGTTCATTTTTTTGACACACATAACTTTCTTTATATTTATTTCAGTGCTTAGACCATTCATATTTATAAAAATTTCTACATGCTTGGACCATTTATATTTACAAAAGTTTCAACATTCCAACTTTTCTATAGACCATTTTTGATTTGTCATATTAAAGTTTATATCCCAAGACGCAACTTCATCAAACACAGCAATTTTAAACACCAATACGGAAATATATCTTGTAAAAAGAGCAGCATGCCATTTACACACCTAATGTACAAACATCCCTCTGTCTGTTGGCTAATGAGTTCTCAAAAATCTTTGCTTTAGCATTCAATAACTAAACCCTACTAGAAGCAAAATTGTTCTACTGCAGCATGGAATACGTTTATTAGTTGTTTCAGGACTTTTGCTTTCTCTAAGAGGAGTTAATATGTCTCCATTGCTTAATTTATTTTTTTACACCTTTAGAAAGACAGACATTATGAATCCTAGCATCTTTTGAAATTCACAGATATTTACTTGGGTCTGAAGCTATATTTATCTTGCATACTTAATACAGTATTCATTTCTTCCTTTTAAGAAGGGACTGTCAATTAATTCTAGGCATTCTCTTTCTGAGGAAGGCTAAATTCTCAAGATGACACAAGATTTTTGCCTTCAGCATTTATAAAATTGTAAGAAGCAACAGAAATACAGAAAGGTATCTACCACTTCATATGAGTTAGTTATTACCCATCCCAAAATTTCCAGTTGAAGGGATTATAAGAAATGTTTAAAGCTTTACAGCTTATAACAGGTGACTTTTTAAGAACCTTCACTGTTCCGAACCTTCTCAAAACGCTCTTATGTTTCATCTGTACTAGCTGTCTTGCGACCTCCTAATAGGTCATAGTGGACTCAACTTTTAAACTTTTCAGATACTGGGGTCACATATTTTCATTTTTTTTCCTTGAGAAATTTCTAATTTCAAACTTACAGAAGTATAATTAACCTCAAGATTCTTAGCTTTCTCTCAAATTGGGCAAGACAAACTGTAAAAGAATATGAATATATAAATATAATTTTCTTAGGAAAATAGGTTAAGAAAATGAAAACCAGAAAAAGAACGCACTATCATTATTAAAGGATAGTGAATTTTTTACATGATACCAATAAAAATGAAGTGACAGCACTCTAAGAAATGGTAAGTGGTTTGTACAAGTCCTGAGATACCAACGTGTTGCACAAGAAACAGCTTGAAAAAAGTTGAAAAATAAGGAAAGAAATTATTAAGGCAGTGAGATGCTATCCTTAATCAAGCCTAAGAGTGAAATGAGACAAATGATCAGGAAACCTGAGACAGGGTTCAGAAACATCTACGTTTTTTTCCGTAAATGAAACTTAGATTTAACAGGTAGATTTCTTGTTTGTTTCTTTGGTTTTGTTGCTGCAATCTTCCTATGAATGTTGACTAGAAAATAGCATGAGTGTTAAGCTCTATGAGTTATAAAATATTTTCTCAACTGACCAGTTTATCACCTGAAATAATAACCAGAGCACAGATATGTAAACAAGTTGAATATTAATGTCACACTGAAGAACACACTGAAGCCCAAAAGTAGGAAGACCCCTGTCAGGCAGAATTTATCTCTGTTCTGAACATCTGCACAATTTACATAATGCAGAAAATAACTGAAATGCAGAAAGGAATAACAAAAGAAGCAGCAACAAAAATAACCCCCTGAGCTGAAATGTTAAAAGAAATGAGAGGGTAGGAAAGAGATAAACAGGAACTAGTATGTAATACAGCAGATAAATAAAGTATATATGAAGGAACATTCTGTTATAAGTCAAGGTATCTTAGAAACAGTGCTTGGGTAGTATGAAAAGTATGCAAATAAAATTTTATGTGATATAAAATGAAATTTCTGGTCAAATTGTTACCAGGACACTCTTGATTCATATAGAGAATGATAAACATAAAGAAATGATAGCTGGAAAGAAGATCCTTGGGTGAACATATAAACCAGCATATCCTTGAATGTCAAAAGGAGAAAAATCTGGATAAAAAATCACCTAGACAGAGTAATTCTGAGAACACCAAATGGTTTGATAACCATGGCAATCTGAGTTGGGCTATAACTGACTGGAGATTGAGTTAGTCTTGACTATTCCCAGAATTTGACTGAGGGGAAAAGGTTTGTGTCATCTCCTCTGCTGTCTTACCAACTGGACACAAACAAGTCAACGAAATTGCACAATGCTTCATTGGAAAAGTTCACAGAAGTGCTCTCTTTGCCACGAGAGAAATGCCTTACAATTTCTTAAAGGTAATTGTCTGGTGTTTATTGAACACAGTAAGAAATTTACTTCCTTTGATCATGAGAGTGAACAGGAATGCTTACCTGAAGTTGATTTTGTTTATGTTTTGCAAGCACAGTCCTGGTGTTAAAACTGATCCTTTAATTTGTTCAAGAGCTTCTTCTAACTGAAAAGCTGCTTTTGTTTGGACTGGAGGGATCAGAGCTAAAAACACACAATGGGGAAAGAGTTTTTTAAAATTGGAATATTTTACCATAAATGGTTTGGTTAAGTTGCTGAAGTTTGGAAGCCTAAATCCGGACAGTTACAATAAACACAGTAGTTTAGCATTATTAGACTTGCAAGAGCACCTTGGGTTCCTCTGAAACATAATCCTAGTCTATTTGAGTGTTTACAGTCACACGTGTATTCAACAGTTTTGCTATTTGCTTTTAAACTGCACTGTTGAAAAAATACAAAGGTTAATAAAAATGAATACAGAGGTTAAAATACAGAGGTTAAAAAAAAAATAAATCTAACTTTGTTTTTACATCATGATTATTCCACTCATGCACTAAGCCAAAGTTATGGCTTGCAGATATTTTAAAGAGGCCAAATTGTAACTTAATAATTGAACCAGTGGGGAAAGAAGTAGTCCAGACAGCCACAATGTATTTCCACTTTCAAGTGAGTAGAAGTAGGATAGAGAGTAGCAGAGGCAGAATTTCTATAAAGGAAAACCAAGAGAAAAAACTGTGATTCCTTCTATTGCTACACAGTCTGGGCTGTCAGTAGAGCTATGAAGAAGCCCTAAACCAGTACTGTTCTATTTTGTTATTTTAATCTGACATTTGATCTTGAAGTCAGAGACATTACCTCACAGCTGGCACAACTGCAGTTGGGAGAGTAAATCTGTTAAAGAATACCTAAGTAATAGACCATATCTTAAGCATTTGAACACTGGAAAGTTGACGGGAAATCAGACTTGGCCAACGCTGCTACAAACTCCTGCCAATCTGCACCGACTCCAAGAAAGCAGGAACTGAGCTGAAGTGATCATTGCTTCCCAGCAAGAGAACAGCTTAGAAAGTGGACTAATTCAGAAAAAAAAGAAGTTATGTACCACATTAATATATAATAGGACTGCCTTTACTTAATGACAAACAAAATGCACATTTTGCAATATTTTATATTCAAAGGTTCAAAGAGGGGATCATTACGCTATCCTAGTAACTGTCAGTGGCCTGGTAACACCTCTCACCCAGATGTGAAAGCGCAGTACTGCAACCAATAAGCACACTGCAGCCAAAAAAGTGGGGAAAACCCAGGAAGCCACAATACCTCAAGGAGTTCATGTACTTACTGTGACTGGAATATAGTGAAATATCTCACAATACAGTTTTTAGAAAAAAAACCCTGTTTTTATTTCCCCTACTCAATTCTCATATCTATCAGATATGAGCTTCTTGTCAGTTGTTTTGCTTTTGTGAATTCAATTACTTTGAGTGAAGTCAATTGTTCTGTTTACTAACAGAAAAGACTAATGGCCTCCAGAGGTCCCTTCCAACCTTTAATATTCTCTGATTCTGTGAATACAAAAACACTTGCACTGTGAATAACAGTTAATTGACAAACCTGTTTGTCTCTGCTGAGAAAAGGACTGATGAGCATGTCGGAACTTAGCAGTTGCCTCCTGAAATTTGATTTTCCTCTGCTGCAGAACTTGTTCTCTAAATCTTTGTTCTTTTGCTTCTTCTTCCTTCTGTCTTTCTTCAAAGGCTCTGTATTTAGGAAGCAAAAGTAGATAATTCCTATGTTTATCAATTACATTTACTGAAATACTACTAGCTTACTTACCAACTTGCCATTTTAGTACAAAATCTTGTTTGTTCATAAATTAAATGTTATTAACTTGAGCACAGCTGGATTTTTAGAGTTTGTTAAATATAAATAGGACAGTGAGTGATAAAAAAGAGTCACAACATATTTTAACCAACATATTTTAACTTCTTAGACTCAACCAGGGATTTGATTCTTTTTTGTATGTGAATTAACATGCAGACTCGACCAGTTCTTGTCACCAATGTGACTTTTACAACAGCCTTTACAGTACCACATAAGAGTATCATAGTGAGCAGATCAGTAGAAAGGTTAACTGCAAATGCTTTGTGTGTGCTTTTCATAAGCTGTTGGGGAAATAATAATAGTTTAAAAAGTTGTTATTTCAAAATATCACAAAGGAGCTACAGCTTTTATCTATCAAGTAGTAGTTGTTAAGAAGCTTCCGGAAAGACAAATCAGTCTAGCAGCACAAAATGGGATAAAACAGTAACTCGAAACTATAACTGACAGAATCTGTTATTATTAAAAAATACATCAAATGGGTCCTCTCACTGGTTGGAAAGCAAAGCAGATTCTAGTCAAAAACAACCATCATCACAAAAGTTTCCTTCAGTAGGCATGAGCTTCATGAAGCTATGTAGAATCTTTTCTCCTGTTGACAGAATCACCAACTTTTACTCACAAATTAGCTCCCTGGGTGAAATATACCCAGAATATTTAATGGCACAATGCCTATGTAGGCAAGTAATATTTAATGATTTTAAACTAAAAGAGGGTAGATTCAGACTAGATATAAGGAAAATTTTTTTTACAGTGAGGGTGGTGAAACACTGCAGCAGGTTACCCAGAGAGGTTGTAGATGTCCCATCCCTGGAAACATTCTATTCTAAAAGCAGTAATACTATAAAAGTAATGGTCTTCACGTGAAACTTCCAAAGCCTGCCATGCAAAGATCACAACAGCTGGGAGCTTCCCATCTGTGTATTAGAAATGTGATTTAACAGGTCACTAGTACACTAAGTAGGGGCCCTCTCTTGCCAGCATCAGTGGAAAGTTTAGCCAAATGTTCTTTGTTTCTCTCATCACAATAAGATACCTTCCCATAACTCTAACTAGCAATTGCTTCGTAGCTCTTCTTGCTTAATGGAGCAAAGCTGCTACTTCACAGAGCTCGTCCTTAACTCAAGCTATTTTAATTATTATTCCCTTTGCTTTTCAGGGAAAAAGTTCAAACTGAAATAATCAACTTGACCCTCTCTAGTATCTCTTCAAAGTGATGACTGATCTCCTGTGAAAACAAACACAAAAAAAAATTGAAATGGGTACTTTTTATTTTAGAAAGCTTAAAGGCTGTAATTGCACAATAGTAAAAAAATAGAAAAACTGCCAACTAATTCCCAAATACACACTTATACAGGAATATCCCCTTTAATCCACTTGGAAGCCAAAGCGTAGCAGAGAGAGAGACAAAGAACTTACACTGTTTTGAAAACTCATATATACATAGCTGTCAAAACATGTTAGAACTAAAAAGTAGAACTAGAGCTCATTGTCTACTTTCAGTATTCCTGAATTTTACTCACCATAAAATCTAATACAGAAATATATAATTTTATCTTGACTAAATGAAGTTCACAGGAGAGGAAACAGACTTGCTTATCCTCATAATACTTCAAACACAATCTTCTTGAGGCCCTTTAATATCTCTAGAAGTTGATCGAGCCCTTTAGTCGAACTGTACTTGTTAAATTCAGACATGTGGGAAATTCTACAACTTTACAGCTGGAGTAATTTCAGCATATAACTCCAAAAAGGAAAAAAGTCAATTCTGACAGAGTATTTTTTTTTTCAGATGATTTTGAATATGGCTTAGCTACACTCTTCCACATTCCTAATAATGAGTATTAAAAAAGGACTGTTGTTCCATATACATGGGAATGAGAAAGTCCAAATGCTGATGCAAGAGGTCTTTTTCAGTACAGCTCATCATGCAGCTCATCACGATCAATATTTAGTTTGGATTAAGACAAGAAGGAGAAAAAAGTATCTTACTTCAATGTAGGAAAATACATTAAAGTTACTTGGTGAAGCCTTATTAACTTCTTGACCTTGCAGAATGTAAATTTTAACACCCAGGTTCATTACATAAATAATTTTTTAAATGCAAATTTACATCTTACAGAAAAACAGTTAAAGCAAATGTTTGTTCATGCACTCTCCTTAAGTCACCAGCTTAGGTTCATATCACAGATGTAACATTGGCAAAAGAATATGGCTTTAAGATGGATAGCTAGCAGAAGAATTTCCTGACTGGTGTTTTTTTAACCCAATTTTTTTGTCTACTATAAACAACCTAGTGGTGCAGCAATTTTTGAAATGGCTGCCAAAATATTTATGGAGAATTTGGAATACAAAACGTAAAATACTTAGCTGTCTCACATATACAGACATTATGTGGAAGGCATATTTATGTCAAAACCAGTATGACTAGATGGTAGAACTATTTCCTGGTTAATTTTATTAAATTCTCTTCACAGTGAAGTGATAGATGGTACATTGCCAGGTGGACTAAACGCTTACTACTGCATTGGATGAAAATGCTAATTAAAAAGGAATATATACAGTGTGTATGGAGTGCTATGAAATGAACATTTTGCTACTGAGTTGATATTATTCTTCCATTGCCACATCATGTTGCAAACCAGTGCACAGTAATTTTAAAATTGAGGTAGGGAGATATTTGTATGGTCAATGACTACAGTAGGATGCAGAAAAGGCTAGAATACAGTGTCACACTCAAAATTCCCTTCGTGGGCAAACATGACGCAATCTAATACCATTAAAAAGATCTGTGGACATTGCCAAAAAATCAACTTTTTTTTTTTAATCTAAGACACTTCCCAAGACCAGGAACACATATTAAATATATTCCTTCATCTTCTTTGATTATCGTATGCTGAATACAAAAAGAGCCTGAAATTGCTGCGAGAGCTTCAGAAGGACCAACCCCCACAATACTGTATGGGCTCACAGAGGGCTGTCCTGCAATATGCCCCAAAGATTCACAGGTGGGCTGCCTGCACTATGTACCAGTTGTCACATTCCAAGTCTTGTGCATAGGCAAAGCCCAAACATACCTTTTTTTCTTAGCATAATTCAAATCTTAAGAGTCCCATTCTCATTAATCAAGAATTGTTACTGAAAAATAACAGTACTGTTAGAATCCTTCTATAAGAAAAAGGCTCAATAATAATGGTATACCAGTTTGAACTGTTATTCACACATTGAGTTTCTATCCCCTTTCCTGATGCTCATTCTTGCATTGCTCTTTTGCATCCCAAGGCTTGTAGTTCCATTCTGGTTGTGCTGGAGTGTTAAGGTGAACTGGCAGCATCTGGAGTCCCTTCAGCAGGACCAACAGGATCTTCATGCAAATGCTTTCTTCTCCCTCATCTTAGGATCCACTTGGAGTAATTTTTGTATTTGCTAATACACTTTCACACCTCTGCTCTATCATCATCAATCTGTAGCTCCACAGTGCCTCCAAATATTCAATACATGGTGCCTTCTACGTACATTAGATAGTATTCTCTTTGTTACCTCCAAAGCCAGGTCTGTCAGATCTAGTTCTGCACTTCTTTAAGCTGACTATTGGTGAGTATAGCCATGGGGTCTCCAGTGCCAAGCCTGTGTGACATCTCTTACCATTCCCTGCCTGTACTCCCCCATGCCAACATCCTGCACCTTCAGTTTTCAAAGCCTCTGCTACCATACCAGGCCTGAATTTCTCTATACTACTTCTTGGTTTTAGAGTCATAAATATCTCATTCTCTTCATAGAATAACTGTTTCTTACTGCTATCTGTATAAAACTACGGTCATACAATAAAAACATAAACAAAGGCAAAATTAGCCACAGACACCTGGTCTTTTAGAGAAATTGCTGCTACAGCTAAACCAAGCAAAACAAAGCTGCTGTCAGGTCAAGAAAAGTTCAGAGAGCAAGTTTGGCAAGCATCTGTTCCAAGGTCTTGCAAATTCAGCACAATCCTGTGGCCCATTATCAGAAATGGCAATACTGCATTTCAAGTCCACATCACAGGGGTTACATGATCACCTACTTTTCACAGTTTCATACTGATGCAGAAAGAAATACAAAATTCTTAACACTCTGCCCTCTCTGTTTACCAAGTGCTGACATTGTTCTTGCAGTTCTGGACACAGATTGCTTTTCATTCTCTATCAACAAAACTGGTGAATCATTTAAAGAGCTTTTATTAAATAATCAATGTTAATCAGCCAGTAGGTGGAGCACAAAGCTTGTGCACATGTTGAAAACAAAGTACTACGGAAAGAACAATACATTGGGAATAGATTGGAAACGGATATGGATTTCCTTCCCCAGTTTCAATAGACGGATTAGCTTTTTCAAGGTAATTCAAAACGCTGAACCAAGATAACAGACTGTAAGGTTTATTTTAAAACCCACAAAGACAACTGCATTTCCAGACTGAACCAGCTACCTGCAGACAGTAACATCACAGTAAAATGGGAAACACATTTTGCACTAGCAGTAACAGCACGAAGTCTATAGTCCCCAGCAAAACTGACAGCTGGTATTTAGAAAGCAATGTGTTATAAAAACATAAAATATGATATCCTATTCATTTGCATTAAGTATGTGCTTAGTCAGTAGCTCTTATTTCCAGAATACTGTTATTTAAACAAAATATCTGCCAGTTACTGCCCTAGAGAATACTTGATTCTTAATCTGATCTTGAAATTGCAACTTCATGTATCAGTGAGACAATAAAGAAATTGCTTTCTTGACGCTCAGGCAACTTGTAAAAACTGTAGGCTACGGTTTTTCGCTGTGTTGAAGTACTGTTGTTAACACAAAACTAAGGAGCTTGGTCAGTACAAGAGACGCAAAGAAACAGATGACATCAGGGGGATTGTAAAAGATCTGAGATTTAAGTTACTGAGACTTTTATTTCCAAAGCTATCCTTGCTCTTTCTGAGCAAGTGATGCTTTTGTCTTTTACTACTAAACCAACTAACTGTGTACAGCTTGTAGAAGATGAGTATTTTTAATGCTGAAGGTGCTGCATTTTAGAAGTATTTTAGAAGTATTGACAACAAATCAACAGTAGACTCTCAGGGAAAATTTTATTACAAGTACATATAGAAAAGGTTGAAAACAGAAGACTTCAGTCTGCAAGAACCTTGTATATGCAGGTCTCATTAGCTTAAAAAGTCCTTTGGTACAACCTTGTTTAAAGGAGGCCTGCTGGTGGCCTCTGAAAAAAAAAAACCCACAAAGAAAAACCCACAGAACAGTTTTCCTCCACAAAGTAACATGAAGAGAATGAACCTAAATAACACAAGATCAAAAAAAGACAGAGCAGAAACTCTTCTGTATCTTCATTAGTGCTTCATCCTAAAGGGAATTCACTGCTTTTACCTTTTTTAGTAGAAAATGTATAAACTTAAGGTTGACACAAAATTTGGTTAGGCTTGATCAACTTCATAAAATTCTGCAAAGAAATGACAGTCCTGTAGGTGAGAAGAGAGTGGTAGGTATTGCCTATTTGGACTTTACTAAGGCAGCTGTCACCCCTATAATCATCATAAACGAGATGCTGCTGTACAGGCTGAATGAGCAGAGACTGAGGCAGAATGTAAATGTTCTGAATGGTCAGGCCCAGAGGGGCTGATTAGTGACACAAAGTCCTCATGGAGGCCAGTACATAGTGGTGAACCCTAGCAGTCAGTACTGGGCCAAATCCTCTTTAACATCTTCATTAAACATAGAAACATAGAATCATTTGGGTTAGAAAAGACCTCTAGGATCATCAACTCCAACAACAAGCCCAGCACGACCAAGTCCACCACCAAACCACATCTTGAAGTCTACCACATGCAATCACTCCAATGGGCAGTCTTTTCCAATGCTTGACAACCATCTTCATGAAGAAAATTTTCCTAGTATCCAATCAAAACCTCCCCTGGTGCAAATTGAGGCCATTTCCTGTCATGCTGTAGCACTTGAAGCTTGAGAGAAAGGACCAACCTTGCTGCCAAGAAAGTCAGTGGCATCCTGAACTGCACTAGGCAAAACCTATCCAGCATGTAGAGGAAAGTGATCCTTCCCCTCGGCTCAGCATTAGGCAGGCCACAGCTAAAGGACTGTGCCCAGCTCTGGGCTCCTCAGTACAGGACAGACATGGACAGACTGGAGACAGTTCATTGAAGGGCCACAGAGATGATGAAGGAACTGGAGAATCTCTCTAGGAAGGCTGAAAGGTCTGGGACTGTTCAGCCTGGAGAAGAGAAGGCTCAAAGGAATCTTCTTAATATCTGTAAATACCTGGAAGGAAGGTGCAAAGAGGAGAGAGCCAGGATGTCTTCAGTGATGCCTACTGACAGGACCAAACTGAAACATGGAAGTTTCCTTTGGAATATCAGGAAACTTTTTTTTTTTTTTTTTTTTTTTTTTTTTTTTAAGGATGACAGCACTGACACAGATTTCCCTGAGAGGTTATGGAGTCACCATTCTTGGAGAAGCCCAAAAGCGATTCCTGGGCAACCAGCTCTAAGCAATTCCTGGGCAACCAGCTCTAGGTGGCCGTTCCTGAGTGGAGGTGTTCAGCCAGATCAAGAGGCCCCTTCCAGCCTCAACCATTCTATGTAAAGGTCAGAGGTAGAAAATGGACTGTCACACTCCACAGTGCACTCATTCCTACCCTCCCTCTAAAAAACGCAAAATATACAAATTTTCTTCTGAAATCATACACTAGCAGTGCCAAGAGTAACTCCTGATACATGCTTGTAAGCCTTGGCAAGGAGAATTTTGGGTGCCGGTGGATGAGAATGGGAAGCTTAAGAACATCATGCTACCCTTGAGAAACCATCATCACATCTAACACCTTAACATGTGTAAGAAAGCTAATGGAACTTGGCTCATATAGACTTGAGACATGACCTGAGGGTTGATCAATCAATTCCTACCTGCATAACTGCCAGGAAAAAATATTTAGATTCAAGGAACTTTGTTTTCAAATTACTTTCCTGCACATATGCAGTGACTCTTAATTTCTACTTATATATGTCACAGCTTGATCGTACGCACGTACTACCTTTCTAACATTAAACAACTCGCTCCTTTCCAGTTATTAGGAGAAAACTTGTTACCACAGACTTCTATTTGAACTGCTTATTGTGCTAATAATTATGCCATTCTCAATTATCACAAACTGAAACGTCTTCATTTTATGAATACCATACCTAAATTTTTAAGTGGATCATCTGAGTAACTTGGATTTATACTGTGTTTCTTACGGCTACAATGAAATACATATGGAAATGTATTTATGTATCCATGAATATTACTTTAACTACACCAGTCTGTCAAAAATATGCAGGCTGTCTGGTACTTGCTTTTACATTAGAGTATAATATTTCAAGACCAGTAATACAATAAACAGTGTTCATCTGAGATGTGTAGCATTACAGTGGTTCTGTTCAGAAAAAGAAATCAGGTATTTAATTTTTCAACTGAGACTCGGTTTATTATCTGTAAAGGTTGTGGGCCATACTCTGTCTTTAATTACTCACAGGTGGTTGTATCTCCTCTCCAATTTTTCTAAGAAAACATAAATTGATAGCACATACTGTCAGGCTAAAATGGCAATATAAACAATATATATCACCTCTTTTATGAGTTATGAACATATGCAATAAGTAAATATTGTACAAGAGAAGTCATCAGATAAGGGAACTGTGGGGCATGAGCATTAGTGAGTTAACAAGGGGTGGAGGAAGCTGGTCTGAGGCTGGGGGCGTGCAAGGAGGAACTCATCTGCCTCTCCAGTACACACAGCTGAGCCCCCTGTATGTGTGAGCACCACCTCAGTGCGAAGGAAAACACCTCTATGCCCATTAAACTACTCACAGCACTTCACTGAGACATTTCAGTGCATAATTTACTTAATCCATTTGACACAGAACATTTCATGGCTTTGCACTCTCATGTATGCAGAAGACAGACTATGCAAAGCTCTGTTTAAAATGTCAGTACAAAATAAGTTTATTATAAGTATAATCCTTACAAGAAAAATGTTGCTTTGTGTTTATTAGGAAGTGGGAGCACAAAGCCCCGGCATGAAGGGGAGGCTGTGCAGCTGTTACGCCATGCAGGCAGAAAAACACACACTTCAGAAGGCAACAGCTGCCTTCTGCTGGCCCACGCTGTGCAGCTGAGTGCACTTTCCATCCTCCATCGAAGCTAATAAAACCCAGAACACTACACGTCCACATCAGAGCCACAAGATGAAAGTGCTACTTACCTTTAGTTTATATGAGAAGTGATTACAGTGAGTTTCCAAAAATTAGCGAGTAAATCAGAATATTGCTCTTTTTATTTTATTTGTCCTATAGCAAGAAACTGAATTGGTGAAACTTTTCAGCTTAGATTCCTCTAGGCCAAAGCAGTGAGCTATTTATCAAAGTGAACATGAAAATAGTGGAGATATATTGATCTGTCTCAAGGTTTTGACACTTTTTGGTTTGGTTTTCTCTTTTTTTTTTTACAACCCTCCATTAAAGGAACCCTAGTTACTTGCCTTCTTCTTCTGTTTGTCTCCATCAAATATTTCATTGCCTTGCTCCGATGCATTTTTTGATCCTCTTTCAATGCCCGACGTTCTTCTTGTAAATCCTGTTCAAAATTAAATATTAAATCTCTACCCCTAAGACTGTGTTAAGGACAACAGAAACTGGATGGAACAGCTCATTAAAAGATATAATAGCCTCTGTAATTTATCTTATATAGAGTAGGTCCCATAACTGTCTGTTACAGTCATAACTAACTTTTTGCTCATCTTGAAAAAAATGTAATTGCATTTTACTTTTAAAAAGGATTTTAGGAGAAGCTTTGCACTCATCTTTCATGATACCACCAGCCGAAAAATCCCACCTGTATTATGTTCATTTGAAGGACATTTTGTGTAGTTATCTAAACACGTAACATAAGGATGCAGATATGAGAGGGAAAATGTTAAATAGTAAACAACCCCTCACACACACACACACTCCCACACCCTAAAGGATTAGTTGTTTACACGGAGATTGATTAACATCAGTAAATAAAAGCTCTCCACAGACCCTGTATCATGCCTGTAATCATTTAAGTAGCACTGTGCAGGCGGATCTTAAGACTTTGTGTCAGTAGTTTCTTCTTACTACTAAAATTCAGAAAACAAGAACACACAAGTTAGGATGGAAAACACTATTCCTAGTGGCATAATCTCCTAGAAAAGGGAAAACAAGAAAACTCCGAAGTTGTTTGAGAAGTCAACTTTCCCACGGCAGTTTAAAACCCGCAATGTACAAGTTTTAATTTGAAGACACCCCTGAGGCGGTCCCTGGCCGCGGGGCAGGGCAGGGCTGGGACATCGCCGCCCCGGCCCCGCCGCCGCCCCACACGGGCCGCACGCAGCCCCGCGGCCCCGGCCCCCCTTCGCAGGGCTCGGCCGGCCCGAGAAACGCCCGCCCCGGCGGTCGGGGACCGCCTCGGGAAGGATACACAGGGACGCTCCGCCGCCCTCCCGCGCGGTCCTGCGGGGCCCCGGAGAGGAGCTGCCCCCGCGCCGCCCCGCCGGCCTTCCCGCCGAGCTCCATGCAGCGCCCGGGTCAGCGCCGGGCCCGCACCGCCGCCAGCGCCGGGCCGCTCTGCGCGTCCGGCCCGGCCTCGTAGCAACCGGCGACGCCGCTTCCTTCGCAACGGGGCGGGGCCGCGGAGAGAGTTTGGCTGCCGCAGCATTCGCTGCCTTCGAGGCTGGCGCAGGGGACAGGGCGGGCCGGGACCCGCCTCGCCCGGCAGGTCTTGTCGGTGCCCGTGGCAGGGTGGGAGCCGCGAGTGGGGATCGCTCCCCACTCTCCCCGCGGGCCGGCCCGGCCCGTCCGGGAGAGCGGTGCCGGACACCCGGCCAGGGACGGTGCTTGGCTCTCGCTGGGCTTTCCATCCTCTGCAGCGCTGTAAACCGCGGGATGACCTTTAAAAGCCCCCAACACACACGGGGTGCGGGCGAACGCGTTCTGGTGGGTGTTTGCAGAGCTCTGCGGGTGCCTCTTAGGCCTGATGGAGACTTGGAGTTAACCCCATAAACTTTTTTTTTTTTATTTTTTTTTTTTTTTTTTTTTTTAACACAGGATGCAGAAATAACAAAAACAACCATCAAAAGATGTTTTGTGCATCAGCTGATGCACAAAATGATGACTCTTACAGAAAAATATTAAAAAGTCCATAAATATAGTTACACAAAGTAAAAAAAAAAACAAAACAAAAAAAACCAAACAAACAAAAAAAAACCACAAAAACACCAGTTTGTTCTTAAGACTGCAAAATTTTTTTTTTTTTTTTTTTTTTTCCAAGCAAAGAAGTTTGTGTAGTCTTGGGATATTGCCCTGCCTTGGATGAGCTGTCAGCAGCAGGCTAAATGCCTTGGTGATTTCCTGGCGAGACATTTCTTGGCTGATGTATTTGAGCTTAAACCAATTCTTCCTTTTTTTCACTGTGCAGCTGTTCTATGTCTTTGACTAGGAAGGTGAAAAATAGTACTCTGCATTTGTGAAATACTTTTCTGCACAGACCCCTGTCCCGTATTTGTAGCACAGTTTGGGAAGTGGGTGTTGCTGTTACCATTTTGCAGTCAAGACCAGTGGTGGTCAAGTTGACAAATGTGTTTAATATTTATAGTATCCCAGTTACTGCCATTGAGAAGATGACCCTAAAATGGAAGTCTTTCACCTCTAGTTCAGGAAATCAACCCCAAATTCACCATTTCTTTGCCCCACCTGCTCTGTTATATTGCAGAAGGGGGAAAAGTGGTTGTGAATTTACCACTGAGTGCTTTTCAACCCACACAGACATTTAAAATCCCAGTTTGCCTGATAAAATGCACTGTTTCACTTAGGATGCAGTAGAAGGCTTTATCAGGTTGGAAAACAGAGTCACCCAAGCAGAACTGAGGCAGAGCTGGGAAACTGCAGAATTTGGGCCCATGTCACATCTAGCAAGATTGAAGGCCGTGGTCAACTCATGCCACTGACAGATTTTGAGCTTCCTTAGATTTCCTGAAAATTTTCATGTAATGCAGTGCCACTTGCAGATTCACCTTAAGATACCTTCTGCGATTCAGAACTTATTCAGTGTTTATATATATTTCTGTATTTCCCTTATTTATTTTTTATTAAGTCTTCATAGTCCTCCTTTATGGTTATTGGATAATTTCTCCTCATGAGTAACGCCACATCTTTCAGCCTGTGGGACAAGAAGGTGACAGGCTGAGGGCCATGTAATTCAGTAGTGTATGATTATTCTGGGGCAGCAAGAAACCTGATCTTAAGTAGTTACAGAATGGAAGGTTTGAAAGGAGTTTCATAAATTTTACTTTGGGCTGGACACTGATATTCCAGTGAAGGATAAAGATCAGCTCTTAAAACTTTGTGGGATGGATTCTGAATTTATTGCAAGTCTTATTTGAAGGCTGGAGCATAGCTGAGCTGCTGCAGAAACATATTTTTCTTTCCTTCTTGTTCCAGTGGAGGATTAATCTGCTGATGCCCTATAGTTTTTCTCTAAGCTGTGTAGGCAACTGCATGGGAGAAGTTAATGTTCTGACTGTTGTCAGAACCATTCCTGCCTGAAATTTGTCATTCTGCCTATTGATGTACATAGAAAGAGGAAGAAAAACTGCCCTTAACGTGATATATAGAGAGCCATGGAAATCTTTTCACATTTTTCCTGAGACTGAACTAATGGTCACAACCTGCATCTTCTTGAGAGAGCATCAACTGATGCACTAATTAAACCCTAGTAAGTCTCATATTGGAAAACTATTATGTACCATGGGGTACTTTAGAAAAAATTTAAAATTCGATTTTGAGAGATGCAGAGGAGCCAAAGTTCAGAATTTCACAGGCAGTTGAATATACTCTTCACAGTTACAGGTTCTTAGTCCAGTTTAGCTATTAATTTTAAAGAAAACATTGGATTAAAAAGCGTATTAATCCCCACTCCCAACAAATGTTGGTTGCTCCCAACAAATCTTAGTAGCAAAAGCTATTTCCAGTGTATTCCAGCTTTAGATAGACGTGGAGATTAACCACATTATCAAGCCAAATTTGGAACATTGTCTTGTACCAGTGTAAGGAGCAGTTGAACAGTGTATTCTGAAGATCCTTTAGACAGTGTATTTCCCAGTGGTACATTGGAAGCTGAGGTTTCATTTATTCTGCCAGATCACAAACAATTTAAATTCTCTAATGTGCCTAAATTCTCTAAATATGTTGGACATTTCTGAACTTGTTTTGGCTGAGATTGTCAGATCCAGTTTTAAGATACAAAAGTAGTGGAATTGAGTGAAATCTTATGTGCCTCATAGTTTTAATTAAGCTTCTGTGGACTACATTTAATTTTCTTCTTTTTCATGCCATTCTCTTGTACTTTGACTTTTTTCAGGGATAAAAATTATAGTACTGAATGATAGTCTCAGTACCTGTGTTGCAATGGGTGGGCTACCAGTGAGACCAAAATTCTGCTATTATTCTCCTGGTAAAAGATTTTTCAATTTAATATGAAGTACTAATTTAAAATAATGTCTATTCAGTTTTCTATTTTGAAATTACTTTGATGACAGATTCCAAAATTGCCTCCACAGCCTGTTCTAGTGCACTGCCACCACAGACAGTCTGTAAGAAATACAGACTCCTTAATTTTAATGTTAAAAAACCTTGGTAAAAATTTGAAAACATCAAGTAATACTAGTTTTTCTGTCAAGTAGCTCAGAACACTCATGCCAAATATACACAAATGCTCAAAAATAGCATATAAGAAAATCTGCCAGAGTTTATCACAATGAAAATACGTATTTTTGATGTGTCATGTAGAGGGGATAAGCAGTAATTTTCCTTCAGGAAAATATATTACTATGCAAGTAGTAATATATAAAATCTACTGTGCAGTTGAAATGTGGTTTATTAAATCCAGGCAGTAAAGGAGTGATGTGTTGGCTGCCCTTTGTGCTGTAGACATTCCCAAATAGTTAGATCAGGCCTTCATAGTGTACAATTCTTTCCACAGAAATTTGAAACCCATCAAAACATTTGCATTTCTTCAAGTAAAAGATGAACCACTACTTTAGGGTAACTTCATTTATTTGTCTTAATATTTTTTGGTTCGGTTTAGGAGAGACTGGCATAAATAATGATGAACCTTGTTCACTTAAGGTAAGATTTTCTATTACTTTGTTCAGATAAGATAATGAATGTAACTGAATGATTTCTCAGAAGAGTGACAGATGTTTTAAAAATATGGATTGCCTTATTCAAGATAGATATGAAAATACAGAAGAATCAGGTATTTTCAGGTGGAGAAGAGAAACTACATTGAAATTGCAGGAATTCAGTATATTAGAACATTTTGGAGTTAATGTCCTGTATCACAGCTCAGTTGTTATGTCATATTTTTAATCTCATCTGCATCACTTTAAATGCAGAGTAACTGTTGGTTTTGGCAAAGTCAGTTTTTTGCTTGAATTGCTGAGATCAGACTTAATTGCTTGTTTCATGTTGGCTTTTGTTAAAGATAAATATTGATTAAAAATATTTGCTTAACAGTGTTTAATTGAACATCTGGTGAGTAGCTGTGATAGCCCTGGAACAAGCCATACTTTCAAGTGTTCTATTTATAAGTTTCTAGAGATCTGTTTATAACTCTTGCATAATTTTTCTTTCTTTATTTTGTGCTTATTTCAAAATTAAAGAAACATATTCTTTTACTTCCCTATCATTCTCCTGGAACAAAATGCAATTATACTAGTAATTCAGAAACCTTTTTCTGTAAAATTCCTTTGTTAACTAATTTTTGTAATTTTTTTTTTTTTTTTTTTACTTTTTAAGAGCAAAAATCGGGAAAAAACTGTTCAGTGCTTGCTTGTGTAGTACCAATTGCAGAAAGAGAAAACTGGAGCAGGAAAGAACAACTATGATGAAGATGTATTCAAGTCTAAATAACTTTAGTTTTTCATTAAAATCTTCACATTTCTAAGGATTCTATTTACATTTGAAGACACAATATATGAACATACTACAAGTGATTTGCTGAGATAATGAAATCATCAAACAAAGACTCATATGAAAATATGTTGCTTAGTCTTTTGACAATGACACCTATTTTGGGTATTACTTTTAGTAATTTCTTTAAGTGATGATTCAGAGGCATTCCCTTATTTTATATCATATGGCACCATGGAAGGAAAACTATTAAATATGAAAATATAATTTTAAAATAACAGTAATATGTGGAACTACTTTTACTAATGCTATTATTGTTGCTGTTTCAGATAATTGTGTGTCCATGAATACTCTCCCCTTATTCTTTCCCCATAAGAATATTTAAATATTTTTTTACTGCTGAATTGGTCTGCAAATCTTCTCATGATTGCTTGTGTGCATAAGTTAAAAACTTCTGCAAATATTTCCTTGATCAGTGTCTAAATAATGAATTTAGGGATTTTCAAGAGTAAAAGTACTTTGCTAATATGTGGGAATTCCAAAAGCCTACTCCTTTCCAGTGAAAATAAGTTCATTAGCATTTGAGTTGTCTGTTGGGTGTGGTAATTCCTAAAATGCAGGATTTGCAAGTTCTTGCCTCCCACTTACAGTGCTTGCAAGTAGAATACCTCACCAGAAATGGTGGTGGTATTTTTTTAATATATAGAGGTTATTCTTTACCTCTGACACTACTTTTTTCTTGTGAGGCATGGCTAAGCAGAGAACATCTAATCGGTTTTGGTCTCAGCTCTGTCAATTACTGCTTGACAAAGCTTTTAGAAAAAGGTTTTGAAGGAAGTCCTGTGAAGCAATTTGCTTCATTTTGACAGACTGAGCTATTTTATGTGTGCTTTATGTTCAATTTATTTCCCTCTCCATTGTTTGGTACAACAGGACACAAGGAATGTTGGAGCTGTGGAGGAACCACTCCAGGCAGAAGAGAAAAATAAATCTGCAGATATTTCAAAACAAAAAGAACAATGCCTTGTACCATGTGATGCTCAAGCTAAAATTTTACGAGGGGACAAACATTACATGTGCAGTATGTATTCATAAAGAATAGTTTTAGTGATGAGCTGTGCAGTGCCATGCTATGCAATCCTCTCCTCTGCTACGCTATGCTGTGCAAATTCATTTTTAAATCTTCTTGAGCACACTTGACAGCCTTGTGACCCTGCTGCCCCAACTGTGTGTTGTCCAGAAAACCGGGGGTACCCTGTTTTAGGGATGCAGCTAGTGTGACAAAGTATAATCATTGGTGAAGACAGGCAAAGCCACGCAGCCACACAACCCACCTAGCTCTCTTATGCTCTGAATGTCAGTATCTTGCTCAATTAGAGGGGAAGAGGAGGATGTCTGTCGCTCATTTAAACATCATAGCTGTGTGTGGGGGTGAAATTGGGAGGTAATTA